AGAAATCGTAGTCGCAACTGCTGTAACCGCGGGCGTTTGCTGCTGTAACAGTGCCAACAGCGCATGGACTTGGTCGGCGGTCAAAGGCGAGGGCGGCAGGTTCTGGTGCGCTGGACGAGGCTGCCCTGCGGCCTTGCTTGTTGTGATGCGAGGAGCCCGCCCCGTCGGTTTGGGCGCTTTCTCGACGCTGACGTCAGCGGGTGGAGCGCCAAGCCGCTACTTGCGGCTCCTCCTGGCTGGTTGGCGTGTGGCTCCTTGGGGTCAACAGGGTTGACCTCGCCACTGCGCAGCAGCAGCTCGAGGGCAGAGGGGGCAACCTCGCCCCTCGTCTGCCCGACGCTTGTTGCTCTGCGATCACCCGCAATTCCGCGGGCCGTGATTGTCGGGCTCCGAAATATTCGAGGTCTTGGCAGGAGAATTGTTGGCGGGGGTGTTGGGAGCCATGGCAACTAGGTTATGGGAGCGAGGGTGTTGTTATGAGAATATCGGCAAAGAGGCTAGAGGGGAGCTTGCCCGCGAGGGAGAGTTTTCAATTTCGCCAGAGTGGCGGAGCGAAAAAATCGGGATGGGAACTCAATTGGACTTGAGCCTGTGAAGAATGAAAAGACATGGTGGGGGAAAGAATGACCTCCAACCACATTATATAGTCGGAGAGGGCGAATAGCGCGCTTCGACGATGCCAAAAAATTGCATTACAAGCAGGTTCGCGTTCACAATATGCAATTTTAAAAGTGTAACACTTTAAAATTTTACATTTCCCGAGTGCAGTCTTGCCTTGTCAGCCATGTGACCCTTGTCAGCCATGTGACCCTCATCAGCCGTGCGTGCGACCCCTTGTCAGCCATGTGACCCTTGTCAGCCATGTGACCCTTGTCAGCCATGTGACCCTTGGTAGCCGTTTGTGTGACCCTCCGTGTGTGCGACCCTTGTCTCCCTTGTCATACACCACACACCGGAAGCACACCTTCCTAGCCTTGATCTCCATCAACGCCCATCCCTCCACCTTTCGAAAATAGGGCAGCAGCAGCAGCAGCAGCAGCACCACCACCACCACTACCAGCACCACCACCAGCACCACCAGCACCACCAGCACTGCTAGCACAGCCAGCACCACCAGCACCACCAGCACCAGCTGCACCAGCAGCAGAAGCAGCAGCAGCAGCTAGAGCTGCTCGTCGCACCCCCATCGCCTCGTTGTGCCTCACCATTGTCACCCCTGCCTCTGACTCCCCGCCCCTCCCTGATCCTCCTCCTCCTGCTTTTCTTGATTTGCCTCCTCTTACTCTGGGCAGGAGGAGCAGCAGCTTTGCGAGAAGTATCCGAAACACCAGCACCCACCACCACCACCACCAGGAGCAGCAGCAGCAGCAGCAGCAGCATCTGCTTGAGCTGCTCGTTGCACCCTTATCGCCTCGCTGTGCCGTGCCATTGCCAGCCCTGCCTCTAACGCCCTTCCCTTACCCCCCCCTCCTCTGCCTGCTTCTCTTGATAAGCGTCCTCTTGCTCTAAGGCGGGACAACAGCAGCCGTGCCAGAAGTATCAGAAACACCAGCAGTACCAGCAGCACCAGAAGCAGCAGCAGCAGCAACAGCAGCAGCAGCAGCAACACCAGTAGCAGCAGCAGCAGCAGCAGCAGCAGCAGCAGCAGCAGCATCTGCTTGAGCCGCCCGTCGCACCCTCATCGCCTCGTTGTGCCGAGCCATTGCCAGCCCTGCCTCCAACGCCCGTCCCTTCCCCCCCCCTCCTCCACCTCCTCCTCCTCCCGATGCACCTCCACTCACTCTAGGGCTGCTGGGGGTGGAACAGCTTCTTCGACGGGGGATGTTTAGAGTGGGGCTGTTTTGAGTGGGGGAGCCTATTACTGCGGGGCTTCTAGGGCTCAGAGCATACACCCCACTTACTGTGGGGCTAATAGGGCTTCGAGCATCCCAGTCTTTAGAGAGGATACCGTGGGTGGGGGGTTTCCAGGTGATACTGCTGGTGGGAGATCTGTTACTTGAAAAAGATCTGCTGCCGGTGGGAGATCTGACACTGGTGGGGGATTTGATACTGGTGGGGGATTGGCCAATGGTGGGAGACCTGCAAAGTCTGGGAGATTTGATACTGGTGGGGGATTGGCCAATGGTGGGAGAAATGCTAAGTCTGGGAGAGTTGATACTGGTGGGAGAACTGCTACTGGTGGAATATTTTCTACTGCCGGCGGCGGTTGGGCAATGGTGGAGGATCTGCAACGGGTGGGAGATTTGATTCCGCTAGGAGATTTGGCTATGGGGGGAGACCTGCAAATGGTAGGAGATCTGTTACTGTTGCCTGCTGGTTCAGCATCAGCCCCACAGCTCATGCTCTTACTTCTGCTCATGCTCTTGCCGACGATACTCCCCCCGCTCCCCCCAATGGTGCTGCTACTGGTGTCTGCTGTTGCGGCACTGGCCCTAGTCCCATCACTGCTACCAGCCCGTAGCTGCTCATGCTCTTGACGACGATACACCTCCCGCTCCCACCAATGCTACTCCTGTTACTGGTGGTGCCTGCTGTCTCGGCAATCGCTCCAGTTTCATAGCTGCTTCCAGCCCCATAGCTCATGCTCGTACTCCTGCTCGTGCTCTTGACGACGATACCCCCCCTGCTCCAACCAGTGGTGCTGCTGCTACTGGTGGTGCCTGCTGTCTCGGCACTCACACCTGCCTCATTGCTGCTACCAGCCCCGTAGCTGCTCATGCTCTTGACGACGATACTCCCCCCCCTCCCACCAGTGGTGCTGCTAGTGTCTGCTGTTTCGGCACTGGCCCTAGTCCCATCGCCGCTATAGGCCCCGTAGCTGCTCATGCTCTTGACGACGATACTCCCCCCGCTCCCACCGATGGTGCTGCTGGTACTGGTGGTGCCTGCTGCTTCGGCACTAGCCCTAGTCCCATCGCCGCTATGGGCCCCGTAGCTCATGCTCTTACTCCTGCTCATGCTCTTGACGACGATACTCCCCCCGCTCCCGCCAATGATGCTGCTGCTACTGGTGCTTGGTGTTTCGGCACTGGCCCTAGTCCCATCGCCGCTATGGGGCCCGTAGCTCGTGCTCTTACTCCTGCTCATGCTCTTCTTGCCGATGATACCCCCCCGCCCCCACCAATGCTGCTGCTGGTACTGGTGCTTGGTGTTTCGGCACTAGCCCCCGCCTCATTGCTGCTACCAGCCCCGTAGCTGCTCATGCTCTTGACGACGATACCCCCCTCGCTCCCACCAATGGTGCTGCGGTTACTGGTGGTGCCTGCTATCTCGGCACTCGCGCCAGTTTCATAGCTGCTGCCATCCCCACAGCGCATGCTCGTACTCCGGCTCCTGCTCCTGCTCCTGCTAACGCTCCTGCTCCGGCTCAAGATGTTGCTAAAGTTAATCCCGCCAACG